AGCTGAACGGGTCTCAGGAGAGCAGAGCAGAGGGGCAGAATCCCCTCCCTCGCCCTGCTGCCCACGCTGCTCTGGATGCAGCCCAGGACACGGTTGGCTTTCTGGGCTGCCAGCGCACGGTGCCAGCTCATGTTGAGCTTCTCATCCACCAGCACTCCCAAGTCCTTCTCCTCAGGGCTGCTCTCAATCCATTCTCCGCCCAGCCTGTACTTGTGCTTGGGATTGCCCTGATCCATGTGCAGGACCTTGCACTTGGCCTTGTTGAACTCCATGAGGTTCTCACAGGCCCACCTCTCCAGCCTGTCCAAGTCCCTCTGGATGGCATCCCTTCCCTCCAGCGTGTCCACCACACCACACAGTTGGTGTCACCAGAAAACATGCTGAGGGTGCACCCAATCCCACTGCCCATGTCGCCAACAAAGATGTTAAATGGCACTGGTCCCAGTACTGACCCCTGAGGAACACCACTCGTCACTGGCCTCCACTTGGACATTGAACCGTTGACCACAACTCTTTGAGTGCAACCATCCAGCTAATTCCTTATCCACCGAGTGGTCCATCCATCAAAACCATGTCTCTCCAGTTTAGAGACAAAAATCAGTCCTCGGCATCCGCTGCCGTTCGGCGGTTAAAGGTTACGTCTGCAGTGTGGAACTGGCCCCGTTGTGTAACCGAGAAAATTATCTCGTTTGCAGCAAAACTGTGACTAAATTGCAGTCCAGAGTACTGCCGAGTTGCTCTGGATATGGGAAGAATTCAGACCACGGATGTGACTTTTGATCGGAAACAGCGCCCGTGTAGCACGAGATTGGGATTTAAATTTATGGCTTTTTAAAAACATATATGCTGAGCATCCTGGTAGCTCTCTGTTTGCAAGGGCTTGTAACTCTTTCTCCTTCAGAGCAGCATTATTGGGACCATGACATGATCTTCTGTGCAGAGCTATCCATGGAGTATCCATGACAAGTGAGATGGATCTTTTAAAGAGCAGGAACATTAGTTGGGGATGGGAGAAAATAGATAAAATGTACCCCAAGGTTCTAAAAGCCAGACATGATAGTATTCAGCAAGGGCTGGAGCTGAAAAGCAGATTTTTTTAATATTTTTTTTCTGATGAAAATGGAATGTTTTGCAAGATTGTGCTGATTTTTGAGAGAGGGAAATCCTTGAAAATGTGATTTTAAAACCATAAGTGTCAATGAATGACCATAAATGGTGCTTTGCATGTATTTCTGATCTGATCTTTCCTCCTCTTGCTCAAAGGGGGGAAAAACACTTTTCCATGGTAAACCCCAGTATTTTAACTTTTGATCTACACTGATCAATTTTTTTTACTTTTTTTTTATCACTTCCTATTTCAC